TCAAACCTGTTTCCAGAATTGATAAATGAAACCTGTTCAGATCAATTAAAACCAGAGGGCAAAGGGCAAAAAGAAATAATCCATTGGCCACCTCCTGAGAAAAAAGAAATGAAAACTTCCAGCAATACCATAGGCAAAATCCTAAACTTCTAGATGAAAAAAAAGATATTTCAAATAGCCAGAAAGAAAGAGTTCAGGTAGCAAGGAACCATAGTTAATATAATATAAGACATGCCAGCTTTCAGAGATATCTTGGAATACGAAATTCCAAATGCAATGGATAAAAGCTTGCAACCAATAACTTATTATGTGAAACAGCGTAAATTTCCTGTGGAGGAAAAATTGGCCTTTAATAATGTAGTTGGCTTTAAAGCATTGCTGATGAATAAAAAATCAAAAAATTAAATTTTAGATAATTTAAAATTATTAATATGTAAAAAGACATCAAGAGATAACCATAAAGGTAAATAACTCTGAACGTTAGAAGGAGACACACAATGATGAAGTGTTTATATCCTATTAAAGTTGACAAAAAAATTTTCTTCCAGCATCCGAATATACTCGAGAGTTATAGAAGGAGTTAAATGAGACAGAAAGTCTGGGTGATTTTGTTCTATGTTGATGGTCTTAGAAGAGAGAAAAGGGAAAGAATGTCTTTGGGAAGAAAGGAAGAGGAAGAGTAAACTTACTATCTCACGTAATAGGCTGCGTGAAATGAAAAATATATTAAAAGACAGGAGTGTTGAACTTATATGGGTGACCCATGAACCTCCCTCTCATCTGAACCAGAAACAAGGATTTTACACACACACACACACACACACACACACACACACACACACACACACACCTTACTTGTATTTGTAGCCCCACAGTTTAGCACAGTGTGTACCATATTGTAAGCACTTAAAGCACTTCATAAATGCTTTCGCTATTCATCTCTGTGAAAAAAAAAGAGGGAGGCCTTTGACAGCACTTGTCTTAACTCCAATCATCTTCTGTATCCAGTTAACCATCAAGCTGCCTCTTGAGAAAATAAAAGGCAGTTAAAAATTAAACTGCAAAATAAAATAAACTTTAATCTGGAAGAGGTAAAGTCAAAGTATCTCTAATGAAACTGAAGGTGTTACCTGATGAAAGTTGTTTTCCACCTAAATCCTGTATGATGCTGAGAAAATCTCGTTGAGGAGAGAAGGAGCATTTGGTTCTTCCTCAGGTTTGTCCTTAATATTTTCTGATTAAAATGTCCATTTTGGACTAAGGGGACCTTCCCCCATCCTCTTTATCTAAGCAATACCTAATTTACTGAGCCTCTCTGGTAAAGAACTTTATCCAAAGGTGAGAGGGGAATATTATGCAGCTGTGACACTGATTCCTTACATTTTACCCCCTCAAAAGTAGGTAAAGAGGTAAAATAGGAGAAGAAGTGAATGATTATTCTAGTGGAGGTCAGTGGTTTATAAACCACAGTGACCACTGGCTTAGAAACACCTCCAGAACACATCATAAGACTTGAAGGTCACTTTTGGCTATTAAGTTCTACTTTCAAAACGCCAGGGTCTCCCGGGATGAATTCTTTAGACACCTAAATGACCCCTGAAAAAATGTCTTTTTGATTGCCAAGAGAGATTTGGAAGAAACAGTTTGGTGGGGCTGTAGGATACCAGACAGCCAAAGTATGGTATGCGGACAATGAATGTGCATGAAGTTGAATACTTAATAAAATTGATAATAATGATGATGATGATGATGATAAACTAACTTCTACATAGCACTTCAAGGTCTCCAAGAACTTTACAAAATATAATCTTATGTGAACCCAGGGATCTTGGTTCAAATCCTGGCTCAGATACTTATTAATTGTGTGCCAAAGGGCAATATAGGGAGGGAGAGAGGGAAGTAAACATTTAAAAATGCCAGGCACTGCTCTAAGAGCGCTTTACAAATATTATCTCATTTCCTCCTCATAATAACCCTTCAAGTTAGGTGCTATTATTATTCTCATTTTGTAGCTGTTCATGTGTTTTCAGTTGCGTCTGACTCTCCATGACCCAATTTGGGATTTTCTTGGCAAAGATACTGGAGTGGTTTGCCATTTCCTTCTCCAGATCATTTTATACATGAGGAACCTGAGGTTCAGTGACTTGAGGTTAAATGACTGAGGTTAACTGAGGCAAAGAGGGCTAAGTGACTTGCCCAGAGTCACACAGCTGGTAAATGTGTGAGACCAAATTTGAACTGTGATCTTCCTGACTCCACGCCTAGTGCTCGATCTACTGTGACAACAGCTGTCTCTAATTAACTTAAATTTTAGATTCCTGAATCTTTTAAAAGGTAGAAGAAGCAACACCCAAAAGAGAGTCTACACCTGATCTGACTTCCACTGGCCAGGAGCAACTGACCACTGGGGTGATGAGCTGAGGCTGGTGAGGGGATCTGGATAACAAAAGGGGAGTGGGTACCTATGTTAGGAGAAAAAGGAGGCCCAAAGAACATGAAAACCCTGTACCTGCACGATGGGGTAAGAAATGACAACAAAGAGGTAGCAGAGCTGCTCAAAGCTTATTTTATGTCTATTTGGTCTGCTGAAAAGTGAATGACTTTTGTACCGGAAATGATGGTGCAAAATTTGTAATACCTAACAAAGGAATCCCTCTCATGGAAGCCCTGGGAAGTTCTAGTCCCTATCATTGTTCAGGAACTTTCTGTACTCTGTTTTAAAGGTCACGATTCTCTGTTTTAAGGTAAAATATTAGTTTCCCTGTCTTTTTATTAAAAGTTGCTGGAATCATTAGTATAAGGTAGAACCTGGTGGTGATCTGGGCATCTCTTAAAGGACCCACAAGGGAAACCAATGAAGTGTTGAATATGGAAACCTTGCTATTTTAACAATAGAAATAACACAGGTAGTGATTTTAAAATTCTACTGCACTAGCTGGAAAGGGAATCAGAAAATGGACAACTGAGATTAGAAGAGGAACAATAGCCTTGAAAGAACTGAAGAACCAGCACCGTCTGGCCGTTATGTAATGCAGAGACCCATGATACCAAAAATAAGAGGAAAACCGCCGAGAAATGCCATCTGAGAGTCACAAACCAAAGTCCAAAAATGAAACTCTCTCTGTCATTACCTGGAACATCTAGGCATTGCAGTAGGTAGTGTCAGGCTCCAAGCCGGGACCACTCACCTTCTTCAGTCCAAATTCAGACACTTACTTGCTGTGTGACCCTGGACACGTCACTTCACCCTCTTTGCCTCGGTTTCCTCACCTGCAAAATGAGTTGAACAAGAAAATAGAAAACCACTCCATTATGTTTGCTAAGAAAACCCCAAATGGGGTCATGGAAAGTCAAACTCAACTGAAACAAATGAATAACAAAAACTAGCCTGATCAGAGCAAGGCATGACAAAGAGAAATCCAAAGTTGAAGGGAACCTCCTACAAGTACTTAGGATGCAAAACTGCCCAAGGCTCTTAGAGCTGCTGGCTGTCAGTCAGGTTCAATGTCAGGGAATTCTACTTGTCTCTTGATTGCCTGGGGCCATAGGTTTTAACCCTGGAAGTGCCACAGGATAATCTGGTTCAATCCTTTCATTTTACCCAGAAGGAAGATGAGGACTACAGAAGAGTAGTGACACCTCTAAGGTCACACAGCCAATACAGAGCCAGGCCAAGGTCCTCTCACTCCAGATCCAATGCCCTTTCCCACTCTACTGTTCTGCCATTCTAAATACATTTAAATTTAAATAAATACATTGATGGGGTAGCCTCAGGCCAAACACTTGACAGGTACTAGCTCTGTGACCCTGGGCAAGTCACTTAACTCCAATTCCCTAAAATAAACAAATAAAAAAATAAATAAATAAATACATTAGTAAATAACTAAATAAATATTTATAACTGAATCCATAAATAAATAAATAAATGAATGAATGTATCAATAAAGAAATAAGTAGATAGATAGATAGATAAGTGAATCAAATAAATTGTTACATAAATAAATAGATGAATAAATAGATAAGCAACAAACAAATAAATAACTTGATACAGTGAGATTTCAACTGACAATAGTTCAATGTTAGTGAGGAAGGCAGCTACTTTTACTTTGTGTTTCTTTTCATTCACACTCCAATTTACTGTGATATACCATTTATGCTAATGATACCTAATGTTTATGCACAACTATATTTACAACTTGTTTATCTTATGTCAAAAGTGTAATTGCTAGTTTCTTTCTTGATTAATTACCTGCACAGAGGAAAAGCTTCCTGGGCCACAGGGCAATGCCCAAAGTATCAGGGGTCATATGGGCCCCTTGCTGTCCCTTGAGCACAACTCTCTGTATTCCAACTCCAGGTATTTGTTCTGGCCATCCCCTATGTCTGTAATGCTATCCTTTCTTACCTCAGTGCACAGGCTTTCCTGGCTTCCTTCAATCCCAAGTAAAATCAGCTTCCCCATGAAGCCTTTCCTAACCCCTCTTAATTCTAGTGCTCTGTTATGTCCATTAATCCTGTATATACTCAACATATACACTACTGTCTTTCCCATGAGATTGTGAATTCCTTGAAAGCTGGGACTATTTTGGGTTGACTTGTTTATTTGTTTCTTTGGGGACTGGCCTTTCTTTGCATGTCCAGTGCCTGGAACACAATAAATAAGCATTTAGTTAATGATTGTTGACTAACTGACCATTTGCACATTTACAAATGGCAACTTATGACAGTTCAAAAAACATGCCCAAGATATAACAGCCTCTGGAATGATATTCATACATATTTAAACATGTAGAGGACAACAAACATCACAGAGTTGATTATAATTTACACGATTATCAAAATGCATCTTAACTGTCAAAAATATGAATTTTAAAAGGCCAGCATGTGGGCTTTTGTGATGGTGGACAATGAGGATGATTGAGACAAAAGTACCCAGATGCCTGAGTCATGAGAAAGTTTTATTTCAGAACTGCAGATGGCTGTGGACATTGTTCTTTCAGGAGGTGAAAGTCAACCCCTGGGAAAAGAGCAGCGTGATGGATTCTTTGGACAATGCCAGCTCCTATGTGAGGGAGAACACCAATCCGCAGGAAGAGGATGGAAGAAAGCAGCAGCACCCAAAAGTGAAAAGTAAGGTCATAAAGTGCCATCCTCCCCACTCAAGCATGACTGCCTGAAGAGCTCTTGAATTCAGCCCAATTCATTTCAACAAATTTATTGGTTATGTCCTGGATGCAAAAAACTCTGCTAGGAACTATGGAAGATGCAGAGAGGGATAAGAAACATTTCTTGTTCTCATGGAATTTTACAATTCAGCAATGAATGAATGAAATCATATTTATTGAGTGTTTACTATGTACCAAGAAGTGAGCTGAGTGCTAGGGATACACATACAATGTCAAAGACAGTCCTTGTCCTCAAGGAACTTATGTATTATTAGACCAAGACAACACAATAAGAGGAATGCTGGTCAAAAGGGTATTTTGGTTTGGAAATGATTGTCACAATAGCTAGTACTTATATAATGCTGTAAGTATTATCTCATTTAATCCTCACAACCTTGCAAATTTATTATCCCCATCTTATAGATGAAGGGCTGAAGGGGTTAAGTGACTTGCCAAGGACTCACATAGTTGTCTGAGGCAAGAGTGGAACTCAGGTCTTCCAAGTTCAGCATTCTATCCACTATGCCACCTAACTGTCAAATTTAAAGGGGGTATTTACATAAATTCATGAGTGTAGATTGACACACACTTCACAGAAATAATGACAGAATTTGACTATGGTTTCCTGAACTAGAAGGCCAGTGGGTTAGAAAGGTAGCAGAGGGAACACTCAAGATTACGTTCTCTCAGCCGTGGTCTCAGGTCTTGGTGGTGAAATAAATGAAAGGATGACAGGAGTAAAGTAGGAAGAAAAACTAAGATAGATAACAAATTACCATAACAGATGAGACAAAGTATGGTAAATAGGTATAGTAATGGATAGATATAGATAAATAGAAATAGTAATAGATAAAACAAAACATAGTCCATCAAACCACTTCCCAGATATCTCTATCCTTTCCAGGATCTGCTTCAATCCAGAACTGAAGGTCCCACCCCTGTGGTTCTGGATTCTGATTGGCAAGGTCCTAGCCTGGCGCAGTCTCAGGTTCATGGCCATCTTCATACCTTTTGGTGGTGGATATACTCCCATCCCCTTCTCACGAGCATATCCGCTCTACCTGTAGAACAGAAATTAAATGGATGCTACCATTTCTGGGAAATACACATCAATCAACCTTCCCCTCACTCCAATAATCATTCTCTCTTGACTTCTTGCTGCAAAACACTCCTCTCTGGCTCTTTCTATACCTTGTCTTTCCACATTTGAATATAAGTTCCTTCAAAGCAGGGACTGTCTTGTTCTTGTGTATTTAGCCCCAGTACAAAGCCTGGCACAGCAAGAGCTTCATAAATGCTTTTTTCATGCATTTATTCATTCCCTTATAAAAACACAATTTATGGCATACTGTAAGTGTTTGAAGAGAGGTACAAAGAAAGTACTTTGGGAATTTCTTAGATCATCCCCAAGTTTTATTTCTGTGGTTCAGGAATTCCAAAATTCCATTATCTCAGCACTGTTATTGGTCATGCTATCTCTCCTGATGTCTTATGACCTGTAACCCTAATTTTCCCCACCATAACTTCAAACACTTCCAGCCCTAGTTCTTTCCCAGGACATTGCCCTTACATTGGCCATACTGTTCTCCCTTCCCTATATCCACCTCTTGGTGAATCAATTTACCTCTGCTTCAATATCAACACTCAATCCTTTCCCCTTTATCTGATCAAGAGTCACATTTGCCGAACACCAACTTGGTTACTGACATCATCATCATCATCATCACCTTCTTCTTCTTCTTCTTCATCAGCAACAAAATTATAGCTAACATTTATATCATGCCTAGTATGAGCTAGGCACTGTGCTAAACACTTTACAAGTATTTTCTTATTTGATGCTTACAATAAACTTGCCGACAATCTGAGGTGCTATAATTATCCCCATTTTACAGATGAAGAAATAAGGCAAAGAGGAGTTCAGTGATTTGTCCAGGTCCACACAGCTAATAAGTGTCAGGAAGGTATCTTACTTCTTTCATATCTTCTTCAACCCCTCCTCAGCACTTATAAAAGCAGGGGCTTGACAGGCAAATGAAGAAAGAGTTCTTTATTCTATCAACCCCAATGCTCCATCTAGTGTTGAGCACGTATTATGTGCTCAGAGGAATGGAGTGACAGAAATTGATCTGATTGATGAAGTAAATTAGTGACAAGGTTAATTAATGATGAAGTTCATTAACAACCCAAGCTCAGTGTTGTTTTTCATTCATCTCCAAGTTATTAGGAATCATCATATAGGCACTTCTGTCTGCTTAGGATTAGTCCTACAGTTTCCAGAAAGAACAGAAGGAAGGACACTCTGAAATCTAGCTCTTACTTGAAATAGTGTGTAAGGAAGGACACATTCAATTCAATAAGCCCAAAAGGAAATCACAGATCCATACAAAATGTTCATTTGTGAGAAGCCCCTATCCCAAGATTTAATGTGGCCCTGTAAACTCAAAACTTTGTGGAGAGAGAGAATAATTCAGGAAGAATGTATGAACTGTGCTGTTGATGTGTGTGCTTACACCTTCTATCAACATCTTTTGATGAAAGAATAAAGGCTTTATCTTTTAACATTGAAAACCTTGACCAGCTACCTCATGGTCATCCGCTCTGTATTAGTATAACAAACCGCTCATTCCTCCAAATTCTCCAGCTCTGGTGACAGTGTGTAGTCACAATGTAATGTTATTGAGCATCCTCTAATAGTAAGTGCTTGGTGCCTATTTGAAAAAGGAATGATCAGTTTATTAGCCAACTAACCACCGTCGGCTTTCCAAACCTTTTCATCCCTCCTCAGCCCTCTTCTAGCTCTCCTTTACCTCATCCTCAGCTGGGAAGCTTGTCTCATATTTAAGTGAAAAAATTGGGACCACTTGCTCAGAACTCATTCTCCCCTCCTCTTCCTCTCATATCACTCAGATATATTCCCCTCTATTTCCCCCTCTATCCCTCTTTCACTTGAAAAGGTCATCCTACTCCTTTTCAAAGTAAGACCCTGTAAATGCAAAAGCAATTTCCTTCCATCCCTTCTTCTCTACCAGATTGCCCTTTCTATCTTCCCCATCCTCTCACTTATCTTTAATATCTCCCAATCTACTAGGTGCTTTCCCATTGCCTAGAAATCACTTTCCTTCTCTTTACTTATCTTGCCTCTCTAATCCTCAAAAAAAAAAAAAAAGATCCACCTATCCCTGTTAAGTCATTTTATCTCTCCTTCCTTTTATAGCTGAACTCCTTTCCTCTCACTCTCAACTATCTGGACAATGTCTTCAAGCCTCATCATTCAACTAACATTGTTCTTTCCAGAGTTACCAATGATGTCCTTAATTTCCAACTCTAATGGCCTTTTCACAATCTTCATCCTTTTGGACCCCTCCACATCCTGTGACAAAGGCAATAGTCTTCTCCTTGATATTCTCTTCTCTCTAGGTTTTTGTGACAGTGATGTCTCCCTGTTCTCCTCCTACGTGTCTGACCACTCCTTCTCAGTGTCCTTTACTGGATCTTCATCCAAGTCATGACCACTAACCATGAGTGTCCTCCAAGGCTCTGTCTTGGGTCCTCTTATCTCTATATACTATTTCATTTGACTTCCATTTCATCAGCTCCCATGGATGCAATTACTCTCTCTATAAAGATGATTCTTAGATCTATTTATACAGTCTCAACCTCAAGTTTTACATCCTCAACTGCCTTTTGGACATCTTATACCCAAAATGACCAAAACAAAACTCATTATCTTTCCCTTAAAGTTGTTTTCCTCTGTCTAGCTTACCTATTAATGAAAAGGATGCCACTAATCTTCTACTCTCCTAAACTCAAACATGTAGGGAGTCCTTGACTCCCTACTCTCTCACCACCACCACCCCTGCATATCTCATCAGTTGCCAAGGCCTATGAATTTTACCTTTCTAACGTCTCTCACATATGTGCCTTTCTCTCCTCTGACACTGATAGTACCCCCTTAGTGGCCCCATCACCTCATGCTTGGTCTATTTGCATAGACTGCTGCTTGATCTCCCTGTCTCAGGTCTCCCCACTCTGGCCCATCCTCTCCTCAGCTGTCAAATTCATCTTTCTAAAGTTGAAGCCTGACTGTCTCTCTTTCTCTCCCTCTCTCTCTTCCTCTCTCTTTCACTCTCCCTCTCTCTCTCTCTCTCTCTCTCTCTCTCTTCTCTCTCTCTCTCTCTCTCTCACACACACACACACACACACACACACACACACACACACACACACCCCATTCAATAAACTAGAGTATCTCCCTATAACCTCAAGGATCAGGTATGAAACCCTCTGTTTGTCTTTTAAAGCTCTCGATAATCTGGCCAATTTGTACCTTTCCTTTCTTCTTAAACCTTTCTCTTGCCTTCTTCTCTACAAACTCTGTGATCGAATAACTCACTGGGCTCCTTGCTATTCCTGCAACATAACAGTACATTTCCCATCTCTGAGCATTTTCATTGACTCTCCCCCATATCTGGAATGTTCTCCTTCCTGATCTCTACTTCCTAGTTTCCCTGGCTTGCTTTGAATCTCATCTACTCTCACCTTCTGTAAGGAGACTTTCCTGGCTCTCCCTTAATCTTAGTGTCTTCAATCTGAGATCCTCTCTAGCTTTTTCTCTCTTTATCCTGTTTGCACATAGTTTTTGCATGTTGTCCCCTCCCCTCATTAGACTATGTGCTCCTTGAAAGCAGAAACTGACTTTCTATCTTTCATAGTATCCCCTAAGTTTACACAGTGCCTGGCACAGAGCAGGTGCTTAATAAATGTTTGTTGATTTGGCCTAACTAGACTTGAATAGTTTCTTCTATATCCACCACAAATACTCAGTATAGTTCCAGGCACATGGTAGTTGTTTTGTTAAATCCAGCCTCACTCCCTCCTGAGCTTCAGTCCCACATCTCAAGTGCCTACTGAACATTTCAGACTGGTTTCTCCAGTAAAATTTTGAAAAGTAGCATCTCTTAAAACTGAATCCATTATCTTTCCCTCAAAGGTCTCTACTTCCAAACTTCTTTCTGTTGAAGGAGCTGCCAATTCCTTCAAGTCTGCCAAGTTTGTGACTTCAGCGTAACCTTTTAATGTCTCACTCCACATATTCAATCAGTTGCCAAATTTTTACCTTTTCCTCCTTCATATTTCTCACATATGGCTCCTTTTTATTCCTCCTCACACAGCTAACAACTTAGTTCAGGCCCTCGTCATCACTCGCCTATGTTAGACAAAATCCTAACAAAAGACCTATCTCCTCACTTCAATTTTCTCACTACTCCAGTCCATCCTACACATTGCTCTCAAAATAATGCTCCTTAAATACAACTGGACATCATGTATCACTCTGCCCCCTGCACTACAGTGGCCTTTTATTGCCTTTAGGATAAAATATAAACTTCTCTATTTAGCAGTGAAACTCCTTCATAACTTAGTCCTTTGAGACTAATTAGATGATTACTTCCCCTCACACATTCTGTGATCCAAGATACAACTACATTGGATTTCTCTGTGTTCTTCACACAAGATACTCCTCCCATCCCTGTGCCTTTGCAGTGTCAGTCCCACATTCCTGAAATTCTTTGCATCCTTACTACCACCTCTTGGAGTCACTCACTTCCTTTAACACACACCTCAAGCATCATCTTCTTTATGAAGTCTTTTCTAATCCCCCCAAGGTTAGTATCCTCCTTCCAAATCTATCTTGGGTTTATCTAATTTTACTGATTTTTATTTATTCACTTTATATTTTTGCAGTGTATATTTTTGTATGTACTTTTTTGTTTTCCTCATTAGGATATAAGTTCTTTGTGAGTAAAGATTATTTCATTCTTTAGACTTGTATCCCTACCACAGTGCCTAGCACATGGTGGACACAGTATTTGTTGATGGAATGATTGATTAAAAAATATAACACTAGAAAGTTCATCTTATAAAATCATTATAGTCTTTGTGGGGTCCACCTCTAATTTTTTTTGGTGCGTCAGTCAGGGTTAAGTGACTTCCCCAGGGTCACAGAACTAGTAAGTGTCAAATATCTGAAGCCAGATTTGAACTCAGATTCTACTGACTCCAAGGCCAGAGCTCTATCCCTTGTACCACCTAGCTGCCCCCATCTCTAATTTTTTTAATAAAATATTTGTGAAGAAATAAGCTGCATTTTTCTCAAAGCACATGTATTCATTAAAGTTTATCTATAGAGGATAAAGTTATTATGTCTTGGGAAGAATGTTGCTGGCTTTCATCCATTACTGGCATGCCTATCATAGGAAGCAGAGTTATGGGATCTTCCAACATGCTCCATCCATTATTGACCACAGGTACATATAATTAGCTGTTTCAGTTGGAGTGTATTATTATAAATAAAAGTTCATTTAGGTTTTCGTTGTCAAAACCCTACTGCCAATTACCTATTAGTCATTCTTGGTCTGTCCCTTCTGGTCCCAAGATCTTTCTCCTTGGTATCTCTGCTTTTTTTCTACTACAAGTTAAAATCATCCAATCAATCCCGAGCTGCAGTCCTATCCCCTTAATTTTTTTTTCTTTTTCCCTATTTATCTGTCCAAATCTTTTAAAAAATCCAAGTCACGTGATAAGTTCCTTTTGCAGCCATATCAATATTCAAATCAGGCTTCTTAATCTGGAGTCCATGAACATATTTTTTTAATATCTCGGTAACTATATTTCAATATGATTACTTTCCTTGGTAATCCTATGGATTTTATTTTACACATTTAAAAAATTCCTGAGAAGATATCTGTTCATGCCACCAGGATGACAAAGGAATTCATGGTATGAAAAAGGTGAGAAGCCACAAATCTAGATAATTCCCCCTTTGCCTCCTCATTTGAAAACACTGTGAATCTTCAGAATTTTATTCTTGACAGTTTTGCATCTGCCCCTAGGCTAACTTCCCACTTTAAAATCTTTGTTCATGAACCCCTACATGTCCCTTCTCTTCTCTTTTTGAAAATCTTCTATCCCTAAATCTAGAGTGCCTCCTAGATTATGCCTAGGTTTCATTCTCTCTCTCTCTCTCTCTCTCTCTCCCTCTCTCTCTCTCTCTCTCTCTCTCTCTCTCTCCTCCCTCTCTCTCTCTCTCTCTCTCTCTCTCTCCTCTCTTCTCTCTTCTCTCTCTCTCTCTCCTCTCTCTCTCTCTCTCTCTCTCTCTCCTCTCCTCTCTCTCTCCTCCTCTCTCTCTCTCTCTCTCTCCCTCTCCTCTCTCTCTCTCTCTCTCTCTCTCCTCTCTCTCCTCTCCTTCTTCTTCTCTCTCCCTCTCTCTCTCTCTCTCTCTCTCTCTCTCCTCTCTCTCTCTCTCTCTCTCTCTCTCTCCCTCTCTCTTCTCTCTCTCTCTCCTCTCTCTCTCTCTCTCTCTCTCTCTCTCTCTCTCTCTCACACACACACACACACACACACACACACACTTGATGGTTACTTTCTACCCCACCCCACTTTTGAGGTTCCTATCATTACCACTACAGCAACCACTTCCTCCTTCTTACCGAAAATAAAGCCCAGAATGGAATTTCCCTTTATTGGTTCCTCCACATTTTGAAAGATGAAATTAATATCAAGCCTAACAAAAAAAAATAATGATAATGGAACTGCTCTGTTCAGGCAGAGATTTCCATCAAATGTCCAGATAATCAAAGTCTCCCATGACTACTTATACTTCCCTGTAGACCAAGCTTCTGACTTGTTCCTCAAATTCCTTCTTTCCGTCAAGGCAGTTTCTCGAATCTACTCAGATGACAACATCAGTTCTAGTTCTACCAAATGCCTATGCTGCTTTCTGATCCTGGTACTAGATTTCTCCCCATACATCTCTTTTGTTGAATCCTCCACTTCTTCCTAACCTCTCAATTTGAATTTTCTGCAAAGTTCTTTCCCTCATCCTCCTTGTTTATCTTTCTATACTTTGTCCCTTTGCCAAATTCACTTACTTCTTTGGACTTAACCATATCCAAATGATTCCCAGTCCTATATTGTCATCATTAACCTTTATCTTCAGCAGCAGACATACATCTTCAACTGTCTATAGGATAGCTCCACCTATAGGACACTTCCACCTATTGGAATGTCTCAATAGCATCTAAAACTCAACATGTCCAAAGCCAAGCTTATTCTTGTTTCATCCTGACTTCATTATTTGTATCAGTGATTTTACATTCATCTGACATTCTGTGTTTCAAAATCAATATGTCATCTACCACCTAACTCCACTTCTCTTTTCTATGATACTCATTTGTCTAGATGGCAACCAAAAACTATGTAAATCTAAATAGAAATGGAACAATCCTATGACAGATTTTGTGACATATTTTGTTAAAAAGAAAATTAATCTGTTTATACAATTACTACATGATTGTTGTCTTGGTCTCTCTCGAAGGTTTCTGTTCAGTAAGATATGGCGTGGCCATCATGATACATTTCTGTAATCTAATAATAACCGCACAATTTGCCAGTCTGAGTATTGCCATTGTTGCCATGGTGAACCACACAGACCAGTCAAATCAATCCAATGTTTCCACAAAGAGACATCCTGGTGCCGCTGCAGATATAGGGGTAAGTCAATGGCAGCTCCAACTTTTTCCATTCATTTAAACAATAGACATTTCTTGTACCTACTATATATGAAACATACATTGGTGTAGACACTAGACTAATAATAAATTAGACAAGATCCTTGCCATTTAAGAGTTTTTGATCTAATTGGTAATATATATGTGTACTGTTAGACTAGATGGACACTGAGATCTCTTTATAATCTAAAGTTCTCTGATTCTGGGACATTAAAAATACATCAATAAATAAGGAATGTCAGAATGTAAGTATGTAAGAATTCAAAATGCTCCAACATCTGATCAGGGAAAAAATCACATGAGGGATAAGCTTCATGGATGCCATGCCTTTTGAGTTGAACCATGAATGTCTTAAGGACTGATATCAGGATGAGTAAGTATTGGTGAAGGGAATATTGTCAACGAAGGGATGAAAACATGAAACATGCTATTTTGAGGAGATGACAGATAGTTCAATTTGACTAGAGTAAAGAGTGCATAAGGGAATAGTGGAGGCAGCTACATAGAATGTAATGAATAGAGCACTAAACATGGAGTCAGGAAGACCTGAATTTAAATCTGACCTCAGACACTATCTGTGTGCCCATAGGCCAGTCACTTAACCTCTTTCAGCCTCAGTTTCCTCATCTATAAAATGAAGATAACAATAGCACCTACTTCTCAGGGCTGTTGTGAAGATCAAATGAGACAATATTTTGGAAAGTGCTTTCCAAATCTTAATCTACCTATATAAATACCACCTATTGTATAAGGCAGGAAATGTAATTTGGAACACGATGCTGGAGGGTCCTGAAAGCCAGGCACATTAACTATATTCAGAATAGAATGGAGAGCCATTAAATGTTTCTGAGAAATGGAATGACATAATCAGTGTTGTGTATTAGGAAGAATAACCTAGATGGAACATATTGGATGAAATGGAAGGAGAAAGTAGAAAAACAAAGGTCAGTGAGAAGAGTTAAGAGGATATTGTAAGTCCCTGGGAAGAAATGACGGCCTAAAGTGGAATGCTGGCAGTACAAACAGAAAATAGGGGGTAGAGGTAAGAAATAATGTAAGGAGAGAATTGGAAGAAAATGATACCCAATGGGAACTATGTCTGAAGGACATCAAAGAATCACAAATGCCTACAAAGCTATGAGAATGCCTAACTGTTTGTAATTAGGGAAATGATCATGCTGTTGATAGAAACAGGAAAGACAAAGAGGAGCCAGGAGATTGTAAATGGTGAGTTCCATTTAAGAAAAGTTGATCTTGAGCTGCCCCTTTACCAGGGACAAAAGACACCCAAAAAGTTGTTGTTCTTTGTGTTTCATTCTCTAAGAGGACCATGACATCAGGAGGACAATGCCATGACTTGTAAGTGAATGGGGGTTAAGTAAGGGAGGGCTGTGCAAGGTCACCAGCCTCACTTTCTCCTCTGGTGCCATCTGGGTCCAGGGGCAAAATAGAAAGACAATTGTACAGTAGAAAGACTATTGTACCACAGAACCCTATGATCATAGGTTCAGAGCTGGAAAAGACTTTAAGTTCACTTTGCCCAGGGCTTCTTAACCTGAAGTACATGAATTTAGTTTTTCAGAAGTATTTTGATGACTGTATCTCACCATAATTTGTTTCCTTTGCAATTATAAGCATTTTATTGTGTGCACTTAAAAACACAATTTTGAGGGGCATCTAGGTTGCATTGGAGTCAGGAGGACATGAGTTCAAATCTGGCCTCAGACACATCACATTTACTAGCTGTGTGACCCTTGGCAAGTCACTTAACCCCAATTGCCTCACTAAAAAAAGAAAAGCCAAAAAACAATACAAAGACACAATTTTTAGAGGGGGTTCGAAGGTATCACTGGACTGCCAAAGGAGTCCATGAAACAAGAAGAGGTCAGGAATTCCTAATCTAGTTTAATCCCTTCCTTTTGTAAGTGAGGAAACCTAAGCCTAGACAAGGTAAGTGATTTGCCTGATGGAACAAAGCCAGGATTTAAACCCAGGCACTTTCTTCACCCCAGTGTAGTGTTATTTATTTAGGAGTCAACTTCATAGAAGTGAGAGTAATAAGCAGCAAGAATGGAATGAGCTCACCAGGGGCAAAGGGCAAGGGAGAGAACAGAAGAGAGCTAAATACAGACTCATCAGGAATGCCCATATGAGGTGATCAGCAGGAGAAAAGAGGATGCAGAGAAACAGAGCACGAGAAGGTGAAAGGGCAAGGAGAATAATACCTCATGCTACAAGAACATTAGGGGAGGGGCCCTCAGACACAGCAGTCAGGTTAAAGTATAATAGGTCCAAGAAAAGGTTACTGCATCCAGAACCACAAAGGTAATGCCCCGTGGGTTCAGATTCACTCAGACCACATCTGAAGTATTGCATATAGATCAGGAAGCTACATTTTGGACAAGACAGATAAGTTGGAAAATGTCACCAGGAGGGCAGCCAAAATGTTGAAGGAGTCAAGATCGTGTTGTGTGAAGACCACCTGAAGGAACTGAAGATTTCTAGCATGGGGAAAGAGAAGACAACTGAAATCGTGATAGCCATCATGAATATATGTGAAATCCTTTCATTTTTTAGAGAGATTAGACTTATTCTCTCTGGATCCAGGAAACAGAACTTAAAGCAATAGATAGAACTCACAAAAAAAAAATGCAGATTTAGGCTCAAGATAAAGAAACCTTTCCTACTTTCCTAAATCTGTTTTCTAGGGGCAGCTAGGGGGTGCAGTGATAGAGCACTGGCCCTGAAGTGAGGAATACCTCAGTTCAAATCCGACCTCAGACCAAACACTTCACATTTACTACCTTTGTGACCCTGGAAAAGTCGCTTTACCTCAATTACCTAAAAAAAAAAATTCAAAAGAATATTTTTCCCCTAAAAAATTTAAGACTAATACGCTGCCACAGGAGTCTTGAAGGTGTATGTGCATGTATCTAAGTAGCATTATTGCTGTTGTTGAGTTCTTTCAGTCATGTCCAACCCTTCATGACCCCTTGTGGGGTTTTCTTGGAAAAGATACTGGAGTGGCTTGCCATTTCCTTCTCCAGCTTATGAGGAAACTGAAGTAAACAAGCTTAAGTGACTTGCTCAGGATCACACAGCTAGTAAGTGTCTGAGGTGAGATTTGAACTCAGGTCATCCTGACTCTAGGGCAGGTATTCTGTGCACTGTGGTGCCACCTCGTGGCCCAGTATGTAGTTTTCTACATTACTATTACTATAATTGCAGAAGGTTTTTCTATGACTTATCCCAAAGATTTCAACAAGTGTCTAAAAGTAGCTCAGTCATCTTCTTCCACCATAATATTCCATTCCCCCTACCTTTGAACATTTGTATTGACTGAAATACATCTTTACCTCTTTGAGTCCTTAATTACTCTCAAGCCCCAACTATAACACCACTTTCTCTATGAAGCCTTTCCTGATGATCTCCTATGTTCTAGAGTCTCCCCCTCAAATTACTTTGTATGTATTTTGTATATGCTTATATACAATATCCATATATTGATCTCCCACTGCTCCTCCCACTCAACCAGGCTTACATTGTCACCCTCAACATCTCACCCAGATTTCCTCCACATGTCCAACTTGCCCCCAAGTTTAATCATTTCGATCTTCACAACATCTATTATATACATCCGTTCTCCAGACTCATTTAGCCTTGTGAAGGTTTTCATCCCTTACACTATGAATATTGCAATAGTGTTTTTGTGGATTTCCCTGCCTGAAGCCTTCTTTCTACTTTTCCAATTTTTCTAGAGTTTACTCACACCCTGACCGCCATGCACTCTAAATCAAGTTACAATGGCATTCTTGCTCCTCAAACTGGCTCTCATACCTTAAATATTCTTCCTCCTAATCTCTGCCTCCTGGATTTCCTGGCTTCCTCCAAGACTCAGCTCAAAACCCAACTTTTCAAAGAGGCCTTTCCTGCCCTTTCCCCATTTCCTTACATCTATAAGTAAGTCAATAGTCGGTAAGATAATAAATATGTACTAAGTGCTTACTATGTGCCACACACTCTGCTAAGCACTGGGGATACAAAGAAAAATAAAGACACTCTTTGATTCTAAGGAGTTCAGAGTCTAATAAGTGAGACAACATGCATGACTATATACAACCAAGCTATACATATCTAGCTACCTATCTGACAAATCAGAGATAATCAACACCAGGGAGGCATTAGACTTGAAAGGAACTGGGAAAGGCTCCCTCTAGGTGAGATTTTAGTTACAACTTGAAGGAAGTCAGGAAAGCCAGAAGGTAGAGATGAGGAAGGAAGAAATTTCAGGTTGTGGAAAGCCAGTGAAAATACTCAGGGTAAAGACATAGAGTGTTTTGTTCAAGGAACACCAAGGAAGTCAGTATAACTTGATCGCAAATTACAAGGGGGAGTGTAAGGTATAAAAAGAGTAGAAAAGTGGGAAGTGGGCATGTTATTAAACCCGCCAAGATGTCACTTCCAGATTCCAGCCCAGACTAAAGCCTGCAGGGAAATAATCAGGGCAGGATTTTCCAGAGCAAAGGGGAGGCTGCAGTTCTGTTCCTCTGAACCTGCAGAACTCTCCAACTAATTGATAGTGGCTGAGTACAGTAGCAGTCTTATGAAACTCCAACAAAAGGCAAATCCAAAGGTGTGTTGCTTGGACTCAAACCCAGGTTAGAAACATGCAGTGCTCATCAGGAGGTCAGAGATCAGATTTTGGTACACTGGAAGCTCTAAAAGTTTATGGGTCCTCAGACTATACTGTACCCAAGAGATTGGAAAAACACAATACTCAATACACCCCAAGAAAGTAGCAACAGAAGGAGTCCAGACATTCTCTACAGATGTGTGTAGAGCCCAGCCCTAATATCAGTTCTAAAGTCAGAAAATAGAGGAGTATAATGAGCAAACAAAGAAACCATATCCTACTATTAAAAGGTATTCTGTTGACAAGGACAAGACACAAACTGAGGAAAGAAAGACTCCAAAACTTTGGCA